TCTTCTCCATTAAAATCGAAGCATATGTGGTATGAAGGAACTCGAGACCGTCGATTATGAATCAACGTGCTCGCACATCAAGCCATTCGTTACCCCGCGGCCTGTATTCGTTTCTCGAATCAATTGCTTTTCGGACTGGGATTCGTGTGCGAGCCACAGACTAAGGTGGACGTCTGTGACCGGTTACTCTGTTTTAGTATTGCATCATTCGATTAATAATTCTCTGTTTCCGTGTTATTACTCATTTATCAATTGGTATCAGGCTGCATAGCTCCTCGTAGGAACGGTCGCCTACTTATTGTTAGAAGAAGAAGAAGTGCTTTTCGGATTTGCGAGTGATTGGTCCACAGAATCCTATTCAGTCGTCAGAGTTGTGCTGACTATCGGTTGACCGGAAGAATCGGTGGGGGCCGATTTTTATTTTATTTATTTTTATTTATTTACTAATTGAGTTCTAGATGGTTTTTAACTCGGGTTTCCTACACGGAGAGCAGGCACACTGTATTACCATGTATGCCACCACTATATACAGCTGGCGGGTGTCCCATTTTATATTTGACAGTCAAATATTTGGAAATCGCGAGGTTGAGAGAAAAATGTTTCAGACAAAAGTTTTGGGACTTCGAGGGGGACATAAGATGATAATATTGGTTTGACCCTGAGTGGCGTCGTCAATTAGGTTAGGACAAGGTCACTTTGAATTTTTAAATGGATCGAACCCCCTTATTTTTTATTGCATATTGTAGCTTATTTCAACAGCTTTCCAAAACACATAGATAAAATGTATTTTGGTTAAGTAAATCTTGAGTTATGAAGCTTGAAAGTTATACAGTACCGTCGACATTACCATTATCGAATGGCTGAAACTTTTTAAATGTTGTTCAGGATCATGATCTTGACAACATGTGTCAAGGCTATGATCATTGGAGATTGTTTCTCTTATTTTCATTTTTGAGAATTATTTTTATTTTTTGAATAATTCGTAATAATTGATAATAATTATATTTATAATTGATCCTTAATATTTAAGACTGTCTTAAACACAGTCTTAAAATATCGTTAACTAATTATAACAGAACCATATTAATATCTTAAAACATTACTTGTAAATATTAACCAAGGATTAGGAACAAGTGAATGGAGGAGCGCGCGCCGATCCTGAGCGCCGCATGGACAAGAGCGATTATTTGTTTAATTTAACCAGCTCTCCTGCCAAAAGTACTTGTCAGATCAAAACTTGCTAAAGGAAAAAGTTGTTCCTTTTAGCACAAAGTATCACGTCCTGTACTCCGAATGCGCCAATTTTGGGACACCCTGTATATGTGGTAAATAAATTATTTAATAAATGTAAACAAACTAACGTAACTTATGGTTATATGATTGTAACTTTTTTTCAAAAATTAACTTGCGGCCTATAGTAAAATACTACAATTTAAAGGTTACAATTAACATTATATTCGGAGAGAACACTATCAGCACTGTGTCATTCATCTAAGATAAAAATATATTTTATCACTATTTTGATTAGATATTGATTGATAGATATTTTCAATCTATGTCAATGTTGAAAATCTATGTTTAGTGCACGTAACTATATAGATCTATATATATTATATATGTATACAAATATGCTATAAATTTTCACTGACAGAGAATATCGGAACATAGCCATTGTTTAAAATATAATAACAAAATAAATACATTTACATTACATAAAAAGTTTAACTATTAAATTTAACTATTAATCAATTAAAATATAATATAATTTTTAACATCTTCAAATAAAAGAACTATTAATAGTTTAATATTTTTTCTAATTGACGATAAAATATTTTAATCATAAATTTTTAATGTTTATATTTTTCGTACTTTGGAGATGTGACACATTCTTAAGAGCATTTTTCTGCAATCCGCGTTTACCGCGCATGAGCAAAAAACCCCACTTATCTATAATATACAATAGTGGGAACGTAGTAAAGGATTTCCATTAACTAACGTCAGCGCGAGTTCTCAGTATCATTTTATTTTCAGGCAATAAAATTATCACACAATTAAAATAAAAGTTTTGTTGTTGCGTGTAACTAGTACTGTATCATGGATAATTTATGTCATAATTGAAACATTTATTAATACATTTATTAATAATCTAAACAGGTATGTATTGTTTTGTATTAATTTGTATCACAATTGTAAATTAAATCTCTTTTTATTGAATTTCTATTGTCTATTAATGTAGATTAATGTAGATTCTTGGTTCAATTTATACTTTATTTTTTTTTAATTCTACAGTCTATGTAAAACGAATTTAGACAGCACACGATGTTTATTGGATGTCCAAATTTCGTTTTTATTTAGTACAAATGTTCGTGAACTTAATATGAATGTTTTAAAAATGTACATTATATTTGACGTATAAAAGTATATTTACATTTGGATGTTTTAAAAATATTTATCTTACATTCCAGACAACACAAAGTGTACGTATAATCAATATGTATAAAACGTCTTTTAGATATTTTTATAGATAGTTCTTGCAGAAGCGTCTAAAAGACGACTTATAAAGACATCTTATGCGTCAATTTTAAACTTTGTGCTATCTGGGATGTTATATCACTTCTAAGAGTTTTAGTTTGTTATAAAACAGTTAGAGTTTAGATAGCTCTGTGCACTTTTATAATTTAAATGTTCGCGGTTCGGTCAATCACATTTTATTTTGTTTGTATTTTGCTTATTTCTTTATTACAAAAAATTATTAATTAGTTTATACAAGCAGATCATACAGCTATCTTGTTATCTGCAGACAATTGAATGTAATTAATCAATAGAATCGATAAGATAAAATACGAGACACTATCGCTTTTCTTGATCCAGTGTGTTATACTTATTTGTATTTTACCGTCATTTTGATTATCAGATTATAATATGTTAATATTTATTTAAAAAATATATTTTCATCTTTTTGATATTTGAATTTTATTGATCTGATCTATCACGGATATACATATATATCTCAATGCATATGTTAAAAAAA